TTATATATATATATATATATATATATATATATATATATATATATATATATATATATATATATATATATATATATATATATATATATATATATATATATATATATATATATATATATATATATATATATATGATTGACTCCAGCGAGATGACACCTTATGGTGCGATGACATGCTTCGGTCAGATGACGCAAAGCTCACCACTGCCCACTGCAAAGCTCACCAAGCACAATTACAAAGCTCACCAAACTATAAGGTAAAGCTCGCCATATTTTTTTCAACACTTTGAATTTTTTTTGAAAAAATAAAATCAAAAGAAGGAGTGCTGACTAGACTTTGACCGTTGACTCCAGCATTGACCTCCGCCTGTCGCTGGTCATTGCCAGTCGCCTGTTGCCGCCGCCATACTCCGGTCACCGGCCGCCGCCAGTCACCGCCGCTGCTCCGCTGCCTACGGCCGCCGTTGACCGGTGTTGCTATATTATTTTTAATTAATTTTTTAATTTTCAAAATTTTAAAAAAGGTGAGTTTTGGGGTTCAAAGTGGTGAGTTTTGCTTTATTTCCAGGTGAGCTTTGCATTGTCCATTGGTGAGCTTTGCAGTGTAGTGTGGTCAGCTTTGCGTCATCTGACCGAAGCATGTCATCGCACTGTAAGGTGTTATCTCACTGGAGTCATTCCCTATATATATATATATATATATATATATATATATATATATATATATATATATATATATATATATATATATATATATATATATATATATATATATATATAACCCATTTATTTATTTTGATTTGATATAAAGTTTGCATCGAGTCAGACACCAATTTTACTACGCACGCGGTTTCATAACAATATACTACCAATTTGTTTATTTTGATTTGGCATGAAGTTTGCATCGAGTTATGCACTAACTTTACAACGCACGTGATTCCATATCAATACACTACCCCTCAATTAGGCCCAATTCAGCAGACCTGAATCCAATTGGATAGTCCATTAATTTAAAAGGAACACTATTCAAAAAATCATCTTAGCTTTATATGTAGTTAGATCTACTTATTTAATTAATTTGACCTAAAGTTTGGCACTTTCCTCCATAAAGTATTATTTCTTTACTTTATGGAGCAATACACCACATCATGGAGCAAAGCACCACCGATTGGACAACCCATATAAAGTTGATTTGACAACACTCAAAGAACCCTAGAGAATAGCTGTCAAGGGAGGCCCAATCCGGCCCAAGGAAGATAGGCCCAAAACCGGCCCAAAGAAGACTTGTGAAATAGGCGGGAACACTATTCACATATGCATCTTAGCATTGTATATAGGAGGATTCAGAATTTAATTGGAATCTAAATTCTATATAATTAAATTCAATAGAATTGAATTCTAATTGAATCCCAAATCCTTAATTTGTTATAATTAAGTAATTGAAAATTAGAAAATTACTCCGGTGTACTCTCAATTTTCTCATAAGAACTCTCAGGTACCACATTATATAAAATATATCCCGAGGTACCCTCAATTTTCTCGTAATAACTCCCAGGCCCCACATTATATAAAATATATCCCGGGGTACCCTCAATTTTCTTGTAAGAACTCCCAAGTCCCACATTATATGCGATATAATCTCGGGGTTCTTAAAATTTGTGGTAATGTACTCTAAGAGTACATTCCGTCCATTTGACCGTCAGGATTGAAAGTTCTGTCAGCATTGAAGTTTTGTTACTTTGACAAATCATTCTCCTAATACAATAATGATTATAAATTGAAGGATTTTATTAAAATTTAATAAAGGCCAAATGGACAGAATATATCCTCGAAATACATTACCACAAATTTTAAGGATTTCCGGAGTATATTTCAAATAACGTAGGACTTGGGAGTTCTTACAAGAAAATTGAGGGTATTTTAGAGTATATTTTAGATAGTGTGTGATCTGTGAGTGCTTACCAGATAATTGAGAGTGCTCAGAGTAATTTTCTGAACAGAAAATGGTTAAGTGGTTATAATTCTATCATGCAGATCCTTCTCAAGTCATAATGGTTGTTTTAATTAATTAAGTTATTCAAAAAATGGAGTAATCCTATACCATTTAATGAATGGAGTACATTTTACTTAAAATCTTTGGCTAGTGAAATGAAAATTATAAGCTTAGTGGTTTGATATTAATACCTTCCTTTGAGATGAGTAGCAATGGAGCCAAACTTTTTTCATCAAAGTGAATCATCTATGATGTAAAGACACCAGGTCGATAATAAAGACTTTTACTAAGAAGGATATTGTCATTATATGGTTACACTCTAATTGGGACACCTACAATGTTTCGTTGTTAAAGTTGATGGTTATTACCCTATTACCCCCATTATTCCCCTACACAAGGCCTGAATCAAATCCTCCCTCTAATCCTTTCATGTCTTCATTGTCGCTACCAAATGTCAAGACTAGTCGTATTCCTTTTCATCCTCAACCAGTCAACCAATTTAAAAAAAGCATGACACCTTATTTGCGAGGGCTCTTCGACATTGTTTCGACATTGTTTGGGCAATTGTCTCCCACGGATAGTCAACCAATCAAATGATGAACCCCATCCATGAGAGTCCGCTCAAACCCAGCGGATGGTTACAGAGAAGAGATATATTAGATTTTAATCATGGATTGGTGGTAGGGAGTTGTGCCTGCAGTAGGGATGGCAATTCAACCCGAATCCGAGCTTAACCGACCCGACCGACCACTAAAAAATCCGAACCCGAACCGAGAATAAAATAATCCGAACCCGACCCGAATTTTTTTACCCGACATCGGGTCGGGTCGGGTGTGGGTTTATTATTTTACCCGACCCGACCCGAACCCGCACCCGACCCGACTCAAACCCGAATATTTTATAACTTAAAAGCCTATCTATGGATATAATGAGCACTCCGTATAATCTCTTGACAAAGTGCTACTATACCAAATATGCCTTTTATAATCATTTTTTATAATTTCTTAATAAAAAAATGAGACACAAAAAAATTTAGATGTAATCTTTTTAAAATTATTGGGGTACACCGAATTGATTATTAGTTAAAAGTCGGGTTCGGGTCGGGTTCGGGTTTCTGGTTGGAATCTCGGGTTCGGGTCGGGTTCGGGTTTTGGCTTAAAAAGTCGGGTTTCGGGTCGGGTTCGGGTTTCGGTTTTTAAAGTCGGGTCGGGTTC